CTGATATCCTTTATAGTATAATGTATATCTACACAGGTTGGAGTTTTACATGACATCTCTTAAAACTATCAAAATGACCTGTATGGTAGTTTTATAATACAAAATATCCCTAAACTTAATGACAGTGCTGAACATATCACATGAAAAAACAAAACTTTAATACAATTATTTTTTAAACTTTAAAAAATCTTTGGATATATGGTAGAATAGACTCAAGAGCCTTTCAAATTTGATTTTACTTGAAGTGCAGGACTTAATCAAATGATTGTAATGACATCAAGTTTGTCCGTAACATAGTTGACAAACTGAGTAGTGAAAACATCCTTTCCCTTAAAATAAAAAAATATATAAAAATGTTTAAGCTTTGCAACTAGTGGATATGTTACACTGAGGAATATACTAACTTGAACCACTGATTGTTCTATCTATACATTTTATTTGGCATTAGTAAATAATTATGCACATTTACAGATATTTTACATGATATGAGTGATAACACGTGTTATAAGGGCTATTTCGCACAATAGGTGTGCCTTGAGATTTTTACTTGTCCTTTGGTGTGCCTTGGGCATAAAAAGTTTGGGAACCACTGCTGTAGAGAAATGTAAACGTTCACCATCCCCCACCCGCCTACTGTATGTTGCTTTTTGACATGTAAATGGTTAACTACCCCCCTCTGAGTGAATACCTGTTGTACCTGTCCGGGGCTAAGCCCATAGGACGATGCTCTGATGTCATCACCCTCGCACATTGGTCATATGTTTACAAAAAACGATGTTAACACTTTCTCGTTCTTAATATATGCTATATTTAGGGTCGATATGTGTTGAATTTACTTTAAAATAGCAGATCACTGTGATTCACTTCTCCGCGGCTGACAATTCACGAGCGTCTAACTCTCTCCCCCCTGTGAAGAGATATCACAGGGGGGGGGTTGGGACACACACATTCCGATGGCCAATTCGTTTTAAACAAAGAGTGGGGTGGGGGCTGGTGAACGGTATGGTCAATGTTTGTAAACACTGTGACATTTTGACTTTATTTGATCATTTCAGTTAAAAACTAACGTTCATATTTCATATTACTGTTTTGCCTGGCTGGACCTGTAATTTACAGGAAAGGAGTGCACGCTACTAAAGAGACACGCTACCATAGAAACCAAACAATGGTGTTGCTGTATTGAAGTCCGAGTGGAAACAGTCATATTTGGAGCGTTATGTTAGAATGAAACAGCGAGGTCGTGACTCACAAAAAAAAAGTGTTACTTCACTAACTGTAAGCTTGTCACTCAGAGTAACCTACAGTTAACTTAACTGTTGGAAAAGAAAGATCAGAGTTAGGAGTGTGAACACACAGCTGAGAGCTGCCGTTTCATTCTGACTGTTTAAAAAACGGTAACAACGGACTATTTTTCTTAGCGGATGCATGTAAATTTAAATCAATACATAGAACTATGTTTTAAATCAATAAAAATATTTTCTAAATCCATAAAAGCATTTTAATTAATATTGGGAGTCATGTCGTTACTTTGTTGAGAATGTGGCCATGTAATAAGCGGGATAATTTGCAGCGACTTGGTCATTATGGGGAAAAATAACACCCAGGGATCAAGATCCCTCCGCGACGCAGAGGGATCAGTAATTTTTAGTGAATTACTGAGTTTAGGCACGTTAATAACATTTTAATGAAGTTGAATACAGTATATTCATATTTGTCAGTGATTTCATGTCAATTCGGCAAGGCAAACATAAACGATTAAATTAGGATTAAAAATCGAGAGCCGGCTGCTGTTCGTTACGGTAACCCAACTAGGACACTTGACACAGTGGCTTTTGGCAAAGCACACAAAGAAAACAAAAAAAACCGAGAGAGATGAGTTATTGTTATTACAACGTGACTTCACTATTATTTAACAACTATTTTTATTGGGTTCTTTTATTTGGGGTTAAGTACATTGTCAGAATAAGTGAGAAATGGATTTAACTTCTGTTAGACAGCTATCATACTGAATAAATATTTATGCAAAAATGTATGGCATTAATAATGTATATCTAATTACATTTAAAAATGTATGGCATTAATAATGTATATCTAATTACATTAACTGTGAATGTCTTTCATTTTATTTAAAATGAAATAAAATTACATAAAACATTTTCCATAAAAAAGTTGATTCAAGAACAAATCAGTACTTTTCTTATATGACTATTATTGCTAAATTTGAAAGGTCTTTACCAGCTTTGGAATTATATATATATATATATATATATAGCACCTTCTGCCATCCCATCTCTACTGACATATGGATCTTAACAAAGATCCGCTATACATTAGTACCAGATATACTGTACACGGACATTTTAGTGAACCAGACCAGCTGTTTCCGCCGGGTCTTCGCTTCCCGGGCATCACGTTGTTTACAAGTGTGTTCAGATGCTAAATGACAAGTGCAAGTGACAATTGTTGTCGTCTTCTCTGTGAACGTTTTTTTCTCCGTTATTTTTGCCATTTTCAGATTTAAATTTCGAGCGGAAAGCTAACCAGGAAGTAATAATTACTTAAGCGGAGAACGGAGAAAGTAAACGTTACAGCAGGCATAACAACAGCCGGTGTTTATTTTATTATAATATATATCATTTGTTTTAAAGCTCAATATATAGTTCTATCCGTGACATATGGATCTTAACAAAGATCCGCTATACATTAGTACCAGATATACTGTACACGGACATTTTAGTGAACCAGACCAGCTGTTTCCGCCGGGTCTTCGCTTCCCGGGCATCACGTTGTTTACAAGTGTGTTCAGATGCTAAATAAAAGTTTAGCTTGTACTTTTGATACCCCGCCTCTCGGCACCACAACATCCAGTTTACTGTATTTCACATGAGCGATGTCGAACATTGAAAAGTCCTTATAAAATCTCTGTTATTAGATCAGTACTTTTCTTATATGACTATTATTGACTTGAACACTGAGAATGTATTTATTAACTTCAGACATTTGAAATATTTGAAATCAGATGAAAACAAACTGTAACGGACCCTGCCGTGTTATCTATGATTACTATGCCTTACTGTACATTCATAATTTCAGCCGGAGGTAGGTGGTAGGCGTTGCGGAGGAGCAGATTGCGAGTGAGGTGCCTGTTCTAAACGAACTATTCCAGCTGTTATAAAGCATTAAATAAAAAGTAAGCAAGGAATACAGAATGTTTCGTTACGTAACTTTGTTGAGAATGTGGCCATGTACATGTAATACATGGGATCATTTGCAGCGACTTGGTCATTGTGGGGAAAAATAACACCCATCCTGATCGTTTCAATGAAGTTGAATACAGAATATTCATATTTGTCAGTGATTTCATGTCAATTCGGCGAACATAAACATCAATGATGATGATTAAATTAGGATTAAAAATCGGGAGAGCCGGCTCGTTCGTTTTTTCCGACTAAACATCTATTATTTAGAAGTTGATTTCACATGACTCCAGTGTGGAACCCCACTGCACCCCCTGGTGGATCAATGATCCATTGCAGCTGGCTTCACAATAATTAAATGTATTTATCATGGGGGCGGTATCAAGTCTGACTGGGGGCCGGCCGGCCATCACGGAACGTGCATGAACCGATCACGACCCTCGCACTTTAAACTGTCCAAAATAAGACGCTTCATCTGTATGACGTCACAGCCTCTGCGTATTCATCCAGACTTTGCGTTGCAGTCCTAAACATGTCCCAGTCAGTACAGTCCAAACACGCCTGAAGTTCCTCCTTAGCTTTACTGCTCCACTGCCTGAATGTCCTCACTACAGGTTTACACAGCTTGAGTTTCTGCCTGTATGCAGGAATCAGGTGAACCATGGTGTGGTTAGCGTGGCCCAATGCAGCGCGGGGGACGGCGTGATAGGCTCCCTTGATGGTTGTGTAGCAGTGATCCAAAATATTCCCCTGTCTGGTGGGGCATTTAATAAACTGTTTATATTTTGGGAGTTCGTGGCTGAGGTTGCCTTTGTTAAAGTCACCAAGAACAATAACTAGGCAGTCCGGATAAGTCCTCTCCACACACAGTATCTGGTCGGCGAGTGTGCGCTGCACCTCCTGCACGTTCGCACGTGGTGGAATGTACACACCGACCAGTATGAATGAGGAGAACTCTCGGGGGGGAATAAAAGGGTCTGCAGTTGATGATAAAAGTTTCCAGAGTGGGAGAACAGTGCTGCAGAATCACTGTCACATCGTTGCACCAGCCAATGTTTGTGTAAAAACATATTCCTCCACCTTTTGATTTGCCAGAGAGCTCCGCGTCGCGATCCGCTCTGAGCAGCTGGAAGCCTCCCAGCTGCAGCGCCAAGTCAGGAATCGATCCACACAGCCAGGTCTCAGTGAAGCACAAAACAAAAGATGAAGAGAAGTCTCTGTTTCTACTAACCAGTAGCTGAAGCTCGTCCAGTTTATTGCTTATGGAACGCACGTTGGAGAGAAATATTCCGGGTAGCGGCGTGCGAAGTCCGCGGCTCCGGAGGCGCACCAGTGTCCCGGCCCTTTTCCCTCTCCTGTGGCGTTTGCGTGCTCGAATGCAGGTGAGGGAACCTTTTACGAGAATGTCCAGTAATTCCACAGAAGAACAGAAAAAAGTGGGAAGGTAATCCGCTGGAGTTGTTTCTCTAATGTTTAGGAGCTCTTCCCTAGTGAAAGAGTTCGGTGTACAGTATGTAAACACTGAATTAACGCACAAAACAAGACAAAACAAAGCGCACCGTAACATCGAAGCAGCCGTTCGCGGCGCCATCTTTGTTGTTGTAACAATCTGATTATATTTGAAGACAGATGGCGTCACTTATCTTCATCTCAATGTATCTGACTGATTGACCAACCCAAACATGCACAGACAAATAGATGGTATAATTTGACAAAAGAACTAGAAAAGATTGTATATTGAAACTTTGCGCTCAATCACATTTAATATTAAAGGAATTTTGTCATGTATTAATTTCTTTCAAGGTTAACTGGCTGCAACCTGTCAGAGAGAAGCTGTGAAGCTCTGTCCTCAGTCCTCAGCTCCCAGTCCTCTAGTCTGAGAGATCTGGACCTGAGTAACAACGACCTGAAGGATTCAGGAGTGAAGCTGCTGTCTGCTGGACTGGAGAGTCCACACTGTGAACTGAAGACTCTCAGGTCAGAGTTCAGCTTTTTATTTTCAAGCAGTTCAATTCTTTTCATCCAGCTTTTTGTTCATGTTGATGAAGATGGTCCACCTCTGTATGATGTTCCTGCTCATGTGACTTTTTAAAGCACTGAGTTTACTGTATTCCCTGGTTCCAGTCTGTCAGGCTGTCTGGTCACAGAGGAAGGCTGTGTTTCTCTGGCTTCAGCTCTGAGATCCAACCCCTCCCATCTGAGAGAGCTGGACCTGAGCTACAATCATCCAGGAGACTCAGGAGAGAAGCTGCTGTCTGCTGGACTGGAGGATCCACTCTGGAGACTGGACACTCTCAGGTATGGACAGACTGACTTCCTTCTATTTTTCTAATTTCATCTCCTTCATCTCTGGTCTTCCATCATGAAGGACGTCTCATTTCCCTTGATTATGTTCACAGCAGTGAGTTAACCTTGAAGTCTTATTACATGGAAACAGCCATTCAGTCCAAACATCAGAACCACTGGTTTCCTGGTTCTAGGGAGGATAATGATGGTCAGTTTATGAATTTGGTTCTGACTGAGATATCTCACCAACTGCTAAATATGTTGAGATGAGATTCTGTTTGACATTTTAGATTCCCAGAGGGACGATCCGGACTCTTTAATATGCGTTCATTTGATGTAGGTTATTTTTGTGCTTATTAATTGTTTCACTTAGTTGTTTATTTGTCTGTTTTTTGTTTCGTTCAATTTGGGGAGGTTGGTTCGGTTTTGTTTGTTTTCGCCAGCCAGTGTCTCTGCCGGTCGGCATCTCTGCGATCTATCCCAGCTGACTCAGAGGCAAAGCATCAAAATCTGCGAATCTGTAAAAATGGATGAGTTTGACTACATTATATTCGCCACGTTGTCAGTCATGAAGTGCTTTAATGAGCGACCCGGTAAACTGAGGGCTCAAGCTAGCCGAGGAAGTGGCAAAGAAGGGATGTCCTTTAGTTTTGTTGAATCAGCTTCATATGTGCACGTTGTCTTGGTCAGTCAGGATATTGATCCGGAAAACAACTTACTGAACAATATCAACAACAGCTGCAACTATTTCACAGAAGAGCAATTCAATGTAACGTGTGAATCAGAAGAGAACATATCAATGTTCCACTTCAATAGCAGAAGCCTAGATGCCAACTTCCTCAACATTAAAGAATATCTAAGTCAGTTTAAGAACCCATTCAACATCATAGCAATATCAGATACCTGGATCAGTGCTGAGAGAGGTGTGGACTTTGAGATGGATGGCTATGAACTGAATTATACAAACAGAAGGAATAAGAGTGGAGGGGCAATCTATGTGGATAAAGGAATGAACTAGAAGGTGGTGGAGAGCATGACAACAGCTGTTGACGATTTGTTTGAATGTGTTACAGTAGACATGTGCATGGAAAGGTCTAAACATGTTATTGTGAGCTGTATATACAGAGCTCCTGGAACCTGTATTGACACATTTACAGATAGGGTAGAAACATGTTTGCTAAATCATTACAAAACATGATGTTTATCTGTGGGGATTACAATATTGACCTGTTGAATCCAAAAAAGCATCAAATGACAGAAGACTTCATCAATGCATTGTACAGTATGGGTTTGTATCCTAAAACCACCAGACCTAGTAGAATCACTTCTCACTCTGCGACATGAATAGACAACATATTCACAAACATTATGGAAAACAATACAGTAGGGACTACTATATAGTGCATCAGTGATCATTCACCTGTTCTTATTGTCTATCACTGCAGTTATAAGAAACCTAAAGTCGCCAGCCATTTCAAATACAAAAGATTGAGAACTGAAGAAAACATAAATGCATTTAAGAATGACTTACTAAATCACAATTGGAGGGTAGTATATGAGAGAGACGATATGGACAAGGCATATGATGAATTTCTAAACATTTTGAAATGACTTTATGACAAAAAGTGTCCTGTGAAACAATGCAGAGAGAGACACACAAACAAAGTCACCGTGCATGGATCACTGATGGCCTAAACAATGCAGAGAGACACAAAGTCACAGTGCATGGATCACTGATGGCCTAAACAATGCAGAGAGACACAAACAAAGTCACAGTGCATGGATCACTGATGGCCTAAACAATGCAGAGAGAGACACAAACAAAGTCACAGTGCATGGATCACTGATGGCCTAAACAATGCAGAGAGAGACACAAACAAAGTCACAGTGCATGGATCACTGATGGCCTAAACAATGCAGAGAGACACAAACAAAGTCACAGTGCATGGATCACTGATGGCCTAAACAATGCAGAGAGAGACACAAACAAAGTCACCGTGCATGGATCACTGATGGC